GAGTTCTTTTACCTTTGATGTCAGTGACGAGACCCACCTCATATTATAGAGCTCAGCACACTGAACCGAATGGTGAAAAGCGCAAGTCTCTAGCCTTGTTAGAAAAAGTGCTATAGCCATTTTACCCTCGCAGCAGAAAAATGCACCCTCACCCTCACCCTCACCTTCTCATGGCAGTGGTAGAGCATGAAAAGTTCTATCTGGAGCCATCAGTAATAGGGCTGGAGCCAGTGAAGAAACGAATCGCGACGGGGTTTCCGAGAATTGCCGAAGTTGGTTGTCGGTTTTTTGACTGTAATCTCGGGGTTTCTCGTTGATAGTATGATAAATTTTTACAGCGACAGCTGGAACAGAAAGCGCTTGTCCAGTGGTGCTTGGAGCCAACGGAAGCAGAGTTGGAACCAGCCTGTGGGCGAATCCTTTCAGGAATTGTTCGAATCCTGACCTGGGATATCCTGCGTCTTTCCGGCTGACTCTTCGGGGCAGGAAATTAGCGTTAAATTGGATGTACTCGCAACAGAGCCTTTTCATTTCACGTTCTTTACGGACCGAATATTCCTTCCCAAAGCCGTAAATATTACCCAAATTTGCTCAGTCTTTTTTACCAGAAGACAGTGAACTGCACAAAATAGCGGTAGAATCTTTCTACCTCTTATAGTTTTTATAAAAATCGCGCGATCCGTCTGGCGCAAAAAAAGTCGATTTTTCAACCTCTCTCATAATGTCCAAACAGCATTTATGATTTAGTAAAACCCAGTTTTTCCACTTGGAAAATTTTTTATCTGTCATATGCTTAGAAAATCTTATAAAAATTGAGAATTACTATGTCCAAACTTGTACGCCGTTACGTCTGGACAAGCCGTATAGTTCTCTTGTTCTTTTCTCTTTCAGACTTTTCTTTTAATCCACTCACATTTTTGTTTCTGTTTTCAATTTATATGGCTTTTGTAGGTTAGAAATATGAGCAAGGAACAAAATATGTATGTTTCAAATAAACAAACCTTCATTGTACATTGTACTTTCAAGTAAATGTCTTTTTACAATTCAAAATGTTGTATGAGTTTTGTAATGAGAAGACCGCCAACGGAGACGAGTTATTTCAATACAACTCAAGTTCATAACTTTTTTTCTCTTTTTTAGAGTATTATTATTTGTTATCACATACAATGTTTTCGGAGGTGAGATCTATTCACAATAATTTTAGCTCACTACATGAACAACCACGATGGAATTATATGACACCATCGAATGAACGAATGGATCGTTTTAAACAACTTGTCAAGCGTTATGAGATCAATAAGGATTATGCTACATGTTTAGGAGGTCTGGAAGCCTTCGAAATTGTTTTTATTGTGGATGATTCTGGATCGATGAACACTCCAATTGGTAAGATTGTACTAGAGTAGAAGCCACAAGTTTTTTCTAACAGATGTAAAATCAAACAAAAACTAATCATAAGTAAAATGCGAGACGCGCAGCTGTGAAAATTACTACGCTCATGGAAATTTTACTTCGTTTAGGCGCTGTAACTTCTCCTTTTGATGCAAAAGAAACTAGGTGGGATGAAGTGAAGCGAATCGTTTCAATTGTTGTGGATGTTGCAGCAGCCCTAGATCCAGATGGTGTTGATGTTTATTTTTTAAATCGAGCACCAATTTTGCATGTCAGAGATTCGTCAGAACTTCAGCCTATATTTGCTGTTCTACCTGAAGGTATATATACATATTTCTTCGTACTGTACTATGAATTTTAAGCCAAATAGTAAATTTCAGGACCGACTCCAATTGCTCAAGTATTGCGACAAGTTTTAAGAGAGAAGGAGATCCAGATACAAGAACGAAAACTATTAGTTTTGATTGCAATAGACGGAGTAATTACGTATACTAATCCATAAAAGCAGCGACACATTCGTGTCCCATGGATCATTAGTGATAGCTTGATGTTCTAGAAGCGACCTACTGCGCAAGTATGAACAAAAAACTCAGATATTGACTGAAAGCTTATGCGAGAAACGGCTCTCTGTACCATGTAATCCGTCTTAAAGGTATTTCTAAATGGTAAAAGTTCCGACGACGTATGCCATAGGCAAGGTTCAGCTTTCGGGAGTAATTCGATCATAACATCATAACATAGGAGCAAAGTGCACTGAAAATAACTTTTTCTAGATTATTTTTATTCTAGAATTCAAAATGTGACATTTATTTAGCATTTAAAGAGATTACTAGAGGGGTTTTCCATAAAAGCCATATGGTCTTGGCGACTTTTTAAGCTCTTCTGTGCACCAATTTGTTACGTCAACGGTTTTAATAAGTCGTGTATATATGTTTGTCACTTTATATTATATTTCCATTGCTCAGAAGTTCAGTTATGATGCAGAAAATTGAGAATTACGGAGAGAATTCCGAATTTTTCGCCTCTTATTTAGAAAAAATGAATTTTCTCAGCAGCGAAACAAAATTTTAAAAGAAGTAAGTCGTACTTTCTAGGCTGAGGTTCCAGCGAATCTAATGATATGCAAACGAGGACTGTAATCCTTACAAAAAAGCTAGATAGGTTTACGAAATTCGGTGCCGCCATTTGAGAGTACTAGTTTGGGAAGTCTGTGTTGAAGAGTCCGTTAACTTTGAATTTTCTTATTCAGTTTTTGATGGCAACTGTCTTCCTGATCGTTATCAACGCAACTTTGTTTTGTTCTATAATAAAACATTCTTCATTTAACTAAATGTGCTCTATGAAACAGAACTAGTATGAAGCAAAGTGTTTTGATTTAATGAGAAAACAAGCCACTTTATTTCTTTGCCGTTGGTCTTTCGAGAGGAAACATCTGTTCGCTTTGGTGTCTTTCGACATATCAAGTTAATACCACTAATGGTCCGTGGGACACGGATGTCTCGCAACTTCTAGATCATATTATACTGAAGCAGTTTATTGACTTCTTGCATAAACTTTATCTACAGGAACCAACAGATAATGATGGACGAGTTGATATTCAAAATTTGGAACAAGTTCTTCGAAAAGAACGAAATCCCATTGCTCATATTCCTGTTACATTTATTGCTTGTACAGATGACGATTATTCTATCGGCTACCTTAACACCTGGGATGAAACAATTGAGTAAGCAACCTTCACTTATATGTCTGATTTGACCATTGCTGTTCGTATACCTTTAGTTATGTTGATGTTGTGGATGATTATCGAACGGAAAAGAAGCAAATTCTAAGAATACAGGGCCCAACGTTTCCATTCAGTTTTGGCGATGTAAGTGCAGTTTGTATCATTTTTGCGATCATTGATCTTGTTAACATTATGTTTCTTGCTTTGATAGTACATTGTCAAAATTCTGTTGGGTAGTATTAATGAATGGTTCGACGAACTGGATGAGAGAAAAGTTGATGTACGTGGACCATCTCGTTTTGAAGCTTCGGCTCAAGTACCAGGTAATGAAGCTTGAGCAGAGGTTTACAGTTTAAGGTTTTAAAGAGGTTTAAATTTTAGTCCATAATTGCAACCGAGCCAGTTTATAGAGCAACCGCCTCTAGGACATCCTTAAAACTGTCTCACTCGCGGATTTTTGATCCAGTTTTTGTTATGGACATATTGACCAGGTTACGTGTACGCGGAGTATAGATCCTCGGTTATCTTTACAAGTAAAAGTTATTATCCTATCCAACATTTGAAATGAAATGAATCTAATTCTTTCATTTAAACCTTAAAGTTTGACGTTAGTTTGAGCCAGAGAGAATCAAATTACCCTTGTCGTTTCTTTATCAATTTTCACACTTTTCAAGATTATATTAGATTGTCATATGGATACACGGAACGAAGACTCTTTCTAATGTGAATATGTACCTAGGTTTATCTATTGCAGCTAGAGGTGAGTTTCTCACATACAAACAGCTACAACAAGATTCAAATGAACCGCTGTTAGCTCAAAACGTTGGCAATACAACAATGGATCAAACAACGCCTGACAAGGTGATTATGGTATGTAGCCTAAGAAAGTATGTAAAAGCGTATGGAGAATCAGATGGACAGTATTGGAAAACCAAATTTCCTTTGGACATCGGTAAACAACAGATTTTTAAGTGGCTTATGAGGAACGAAATTTAGAAAACAGAGTTCGGCGATTTGTGCAACGGAAGGTCCTGAAGAAGAAAATATGAGCTCATGATTTAAAAATTGAAAAAAATGCACTTAAGTTGAATTAAACTGTTGTATTTTTAACTGTAAAAAACGAACCGTTGAAATCGAAAAGACATATTAACTTTTGAGAGAACGCTTTGAGTGTTAAAAGCATGTGGACCGTAATCCCCGTAAAAGTACTTTACTAGCAGCTCCTTTTTCTTGCTTCGTTCGATTTTGGGATGACTTCTTCAAACTGAGTATAATCATGACTGTCAGTGATATCTACATTCTTATGTGTTGAAAAATTATTCCAGCACTCAGATAGTAAGAAAAAAGACGATTATTAGCAATATCGTAGAATTTTGCCCAAATTATCATATACGGGTTTAGAACATTATACTTTTTCCATTTTATATGCTTTTTTATTTTTTGCTGTGAGAATCGCAGCTACGATGGACAGAGGAAACGGCATAAGAAGTCCGCAGCGCAGCGAACTGGCAGTCTTGAGTTTCGTAAAAATTGTAGACAAAACATCCTGAATAAACAGAAACGTTAGTACTAGCAAAAACGCGTAATTTATTCGATTATTGAACAACCAAAAATCATTTTAACGTCAAAACCCAAGCCCAATCCAGATTGGTGTAGTTTGTCTTAGAACCTCCAGTGGTTCACATTTTCCTTAAAAACTGGTTCTTCTACCAGCTTTTTTTATTAGAAGAGTAATATGTACTTAACTTCAACGTCACATCATTGCGAAATTCACTTTTAGAATCATACCCACTGTAGCTACGTACTTTTTCACGCAAAGAGAAAAGTTTCTCGACTGTTTCTGACGGATGTGCACTCTTATTAAAAGCGTATTGCTTTATTTTAGGCTGAAAAAGATGCAACATTAAATCAGTTGATGCTTGGTAAGACGAGTGTGTGAAGAATTTGTGTTTACGGGGATATGATATTTTCTCTTTTCTTTACACAGTTCCGACGGGTTCGTCATTTCAGATCGTATGCCTGGATCTTCGTTCAGAAATTGGCGCAACGAATATCAAAAAGGAATTTGAGGAACTCGGAGCATTTGTATATTTTCATTCTGAACATCAGTTACTAGAGTTTCTACACCTGAATGATATCACCTACACGTTTATGATTCTTATCGGAAATACATATGATACTGATAATCTAAACCGACTGAAAGTGTTCTACATGCGTAAGACAAAGAATATTTATGTGCTGTTATCATCGGATATTCCATCGCAAATAGTCGATTTACGTTTCCGTCTTGGTAATGATATTGCTTGTCATCTAACTGAAAAAGGACACAAGTTATCATCATCTACATGTGTTCGCAAACAGATTTATCAAGATCAGTCAAAAATATATCGTACTCTCATCAATAGTATAGATTATCTCATCAATGGCGTTAAATCAGTATAGACTGAATCAATATGCACTTTTCCCTTCCAAAACCATTTGAACAACGCTAAGGTAATATTGTGTGTAATAGCACAATGAGTATTTCTGAAGTTGGCTTATAGTCTTATTTGTATTTTTTTTAAAAGTAATTAATAATTAACATGTTTATTGTTGTTAATACTTTCTTTTGATGCGCGCAAACTATACAATTATCCAAAGTTAAAACTCAAAGTCTCCTAGTTATACGCCTTCAGAGGAAGCCAACGAGAAAAGCAAGAGCTGCAGACAAATCTACAGTAAACGTCATGGGTTGACATTTCGATGTTTTTGTGTGACCAAAGGTGACTCGAACTTTTGGAACACAACCCATGCTCTACATATGCTGTGTAAGTGCATTTACAGCAGCCGCTGTTTTTATTTGAGGAAAAGGGTCTCAATCTTCCATTCAGTTTTTACTATAGTCTTTGTACCTTTTCTAGATTATTTTTGTGTGAGAGATGGCTCAACCAGAGAACGAAACATCCGTGACATATAAAGATTCGAAACAACTTATTATTTTATTAGATCCAAATCAGACAATGAAACAACTAGCTGATCAAATTATAGAAGAGTTGCTTGTTTTCTGCGATAAAACTGCATGTTTCGATTATATTAAAGGAAATAACCTGCAGCAGATTTATTTTATTGTATCCGGTAATAATGCTGAAGATGTCATAGACGATCTAATCTCGCTGCCACAAATTCATTGCGTATATATATTTTGTGTCGATGTTTACTATTATGAACAATGGGCTAAACCATATAATAAAATATTAGGCGTTTTTCATACGGATGATAGTCTAATCGTGAAACTAGCGCAGGATCTAGCGTTTTATTATGTTCAACAAGGAAATAATTATCGGTCAAGTGGTAATGATGGTCTTGCGGGCCTGAATTACCGGCGTGCGAGAAATATTTACTATACCCTTTACAACTACGTACTGAAACAAGACGATCAGTTAAAAAAATGTAGCGTAGAACAGAGTTAACGCTGTTTAAATATATGACCTTTATTTTCTATTGTTTCTTACTTCTCATTTATTCTATCATCTCCATGGTATAAGTTCAATGAATAGATTTTAATTAAACAAAGTCAATCTCCGTAACCGAGGTTTCTTCGAACATCAGTTAGAGAAGTAAACATGAAGTGATGAAGGTGTTGTGGAAGAGAAAGTCAAAAAGTTATGGTAATCAAAAAGATTTTATCTAACTCCAGAGTATATAAGAACAACGATTTCATTTTTCTTTCTCGATTAGAGAATTTCCTAGTAAATAAAGTCGACGATAGAATCTTAAGACACTTGTATTTTAGAGTTTTCTCCTCGACCTTCCCAACTGGAGTGAAACAATTGGGTAAGCAACCTTCACTTATATGTCTGATTTGGCCATTGCTGTTCGTATACCCTTAGTTATGTTGATGTTGTGAAATCGAAAATATTTACAATGGATTAGACCACGTCATCAGTTAGACAACATAATGTTCAACTAAGAATTAGAAGAATTTAGAGGGTGTTAGATCATATAGAAATGAAATTACTTGTACTCATTTTGGGTACATTCTCTAACTGAGCCTCAGATCAATTATTCATCTTGATTGCATCATGTTCTTGAAGACAAAGCCGTAGAAAATGCTTTTGTGCTGAAGTTTTGATGCTTTAAAATACTTTTTGCTGAATCAGTTTTTGAGGCGATGCTGACCTCAAAAACTGATTCAGTCAACAAGTATTTTGATTTAGTATTCTGATTTAGCCAACAAAGGCATTTCGTGTACAACTGAAACCCTCAGTTACATGGGGGCAAGCTGTATCAAAAAACTTTCAAAACCTAAGAACTAAGATTAAAAAAGATAATTTTTTAATCATTTACACCATGTTTTACTCGAACTTTTCTTCGAGAACATGATGTAATCCGTTGAGGAAAGGACGAAATTAGATCATTTTGTAGAGAATTCTTTGCTCTAATTCTCATGTGAATTAACATCAGTCGGGCTTGATCAGAATTAATTAATGAGAAATTACAAAAGCTAAAAGAGATAGTCATTTTTTCTATACCGAACCCTGTGGTAAAACTGGCGGAGACTGTGTGGACTAGTGTTCGTAAGTGGACCCGTGTCGCTGGATACGGTAGCTATGGTGGATCGGCAGTGGAAGTAGGTTAGTATAGTAGAATATTGTGATAATCTATTAAATTGTTTGCATCTTTTATTTTACACAATACGCTGGTTGTTTTGTCGTTCTTCTTTCAATAAAAAATGTCTTTCACTTCTCGTTTATTTTTGTTCTTTTTTTTGGGATGTTCTGCACAAATTTATTGAGAAGTATCATGATGCAAACGTAAAATTGTATCGAATAGAAATGTTTTAAAAAGCTTTTTATACTTTTTATCTAGTCACAATTGTAAATGGCGAGATCTATTCAATGTAGATTTTCAAAAAAGCGCTTGATGTTAAAGTTGTCCCTCAAATAATTCAATGAACGAGCACTAAAGAACGTAGTGTATCAATTAAAAAGCTTTTTTTGATTTTGTTTATTTCGTTCTGTTTTTTTTCAGAAATCCGAATAATACATATGAGTGAATTGCAACGGGATTGTATCGTGTAAAAGCTATTTTTTACCCGTAATTTTCGAATATCTTGGAAAATAGTCATGATATTGGTCCGAAAATTTTAGCATAGCATCCCTATACCATGACCGAGATATCCTGAAAATGTCATGCAATTTCGTGGCATGGAAGCCGAGATCCGATTTTGAGAGGGGGGTGGCCTTAAAGTAGAATATTATGATTATCTTAATCAAACATCGGAGAAAGCAACGGGAAACTACTCTGACTATCTTCCCAAGAACAAAAAGGCACAATGAAAGCACAAAGAAAAGGAAGAAATCTAAACAACGTAAACGGGATCCAGGAGGTGGATGCCGCGTTCGG